GGTGGGTCCCGACTCCATGCCCCAGCCGGCCTCCCCTCCCCAGCATTCCCCGAGATGGAGCTGGCAGACAACAGGTTCATTCGTGAACGTTACTCCGTCTCCCCAACGAAGGCCGCCAGTCGTCAGGGCAGGGGCCCCGTCAATGACCCCGTCAGCGGCTCCTCCTCCTCCTCCTCCTCCTCCTCCTCCTCCTCCTCCTCCTCCTTCTGCTCCTCCCCCTCCTCCCTGCATGCTCCCCTGGTGTGCCAGCCACCAGGTAGTACAGCTGGGCACGCACGACCCTGCGCCAATACGTGAGCCGAGGTCCCGCAAGCTTCACCTCCGCGCGCGCAGCTCCGGGAGGGAGCAGCAGGGAGGGGGAGCGGCAGCGAGAGGGAGGAGGAGAAGAAGGAGGAGGGAGGAAGCGGAGGAGGGGGAGGAGGGGGAGGATGAGGAGGGAGGAGGAGGAGGAGGAGGAGGAGGAGGAGGAGGAGGAGGAGGAGGAACATGAACAGAAGGAGGAGGAGGAGGAGGAGGAAGACGGGCAGGGGGAGGAGGAGAAGGAGGTGGAGGAGGAGGAGAAGCAGGAGCAGGAGGAGGAGGAGGAGGAGCAGGAGGAGGAGGAGGTGGAGGAGGAGGAGGAGGACCAGCGTAAACCCAAGAATCATCAAAGATGTTGGAATAAACCCTCCCTCCGAACTCCCTCTTCGTAGGCCGTAGGCCCCATACAACGGTCCATTTCCATTTGGGGAACTGCCCCGTGCCCCGTTGGGAGACAACCGTTTGAAGACCCTGAAGCGTGCCAAAACACCATCCTCGGGACTGCAACGCCACGAATTGACCTGACATTTGCGTTGTGACGATCCTGAATCGTGCCAGAACACCATTCCTGGGACTTCAACACTGCGAATCAACGTAACTGTTGCGCCCTCACTATCCGGAGTCCTTCCAAAACGCCGTGTCTGGTATGTTAAACATGGAAACCCGTGAAACGAGTGCAACTGTTTGAAACGAATGTGCGCAACGCTAAAGCGGGAAACTCAATCCGTGAAGCTCGTGAAAACGTTCGAAACGAAGGCGCGTGGAACTCAGGCGAGACCCACCTTTTGAAAAGGAGCTGCCCTCAATCGGCGAAGCTCTCACGATGTTCTGAAACGAGTGTGCGCGGCGCTATAGCGAAAATCGCATTTGGAAAACGAACCATCTTCGAGCCGCGAACCTCTTGCAAAGCATGATGAAACAAAGTGTGCGCGGCGCTATACGGGCCGAAGGCGACAAACCCCAGTCCGGAGGCACTCCAGGCCCCGGCCCTGGGGGGGGCGGGCCCGCGGGCACCCGACAAGGCGTGGGCGCCCCGTGGGGTCTGCCCAGCGATGGCTGAGCGGGAAGCCCCGGTCCGTGTGGCACGGCGCTGGGAGGGGGGCCCCACGCCGTCGGACCCACCTGTCCCTCCGCATCTGCGGGCCGCCCTGCCGCCCTGCCACTGTGCCCGTCTCCGTCATCGAGCTCCCTGCCCCGCGGCCTGGTGCCCCCGGAGCAGGCCGAGTCCGACCTCGCTGACCACGCCCTCGTGCATCGCGTCGGCGGTTTCAAGGAACTCGGCGAGGAGCTCGTGTCTTCCCACTCCTCGCCCGGCAGACAAGGCGTCCGTCTCGCCGTCCGCCGAAGCGTCCGTCTCGCCGTCCGCCCTGCGGCCCAGGTAGTCGGAGATGGTTGTGGGGGGGCCCCGTTTCCTCTGCTCCTCATCCTGCGCTCGCGCCCTCTTGAGCTTCTTGTCGAAGTCGCTGCGCGCCTCCTTCCTCGTCGACGTAGCGCTCCTGCTCCGGGATCTCGCCCGACTGGCCAGGCGGCGGCGACTCCGCTCCTTCTTTCCTGCTCAAAGCGACCGCGGATGGCGGGTTCAGGCTGCCCCCTCGGCAATTGGCGCCGTCTCCGTGGTCTGAGAGCCGGAGGGCCGCGCCTGACCTCTGGCAGATGGCCGGGGGCTGGGAACCGATGAACTCATCGAGCAGCTCTGGGCGCGGGGCCGACTGGGCGCCATCCGGGATATAGAGAGGACGAGACCAAGGCCGACCGCCGCCACGTCGGCGCGGGGGGTCGCTCTCGTTCTCGGCAGCGCCCTGAGATTAACGGGGAAGGTGAAGTGCGCGTCTCGGCTCGCGTCCGCATCGGCCAGGGGGCCCCTCGCGTGGATCTGCCAGGTCAACTCTGTTGCCGCCTTGGCGGGGCTGCCCTCTCTGGCAGCTCCTGCGCCCGCCAATGGGCGTTCCTCGTTCCGTCGGCATGGCGAATGCTCGGCTTCTTGTCCTCCTCTGGCCTCGGGGCGGCGGAGCGGCCGCGCCGGGCTGCGACCCGATCGGCCGAGCGCGGCGGCGCAGAGGGGGAACCCGTCCTTCTCCGTGGTCCTCGAGTAGCACTGGGCACGGGCGCACTTCCCCTGCGCCGCCCGTGCCTCGCAGGTCTGGGCGTGGAAGGCGCGCGCCTGGAAAGCGCGGGCGCCGCCCGCCTCTGGGCGTCGCGCGCGCCCGAGATCGCCGCGTCTCCGCCAGCAGGTGGACGGGGCCGTGGCGGGCTGAATCTCTGCAGCCCTCAGGGCACAGGACCTGCGCGGCCCCTTTCCCAAGGTAGGCGATCTTGTCTGCTTCGCAGATGTCGACGCTGGCCCCCAACTCGGTCTCAGAGTTGGGACCCATCTCCTGAACCTCGCCGCCCCCCTTGCCGGGCGCTGGGCGCCTGGAACAGCGCCTGGCCACGCGCCTGACAAGCTTGCCGATGCTCCGGCACGTCCACGCGCGGCAGACCCTGCCGCCCGCGCACGCGCGGCCTGCGGGCGCGCCCCCGGCCAGGTCCGACACGTTGATCTGGGAGCTGGCGCTGACCACGCACGACCAGCAGACATGAGCCATGCCCCTCTCGCCCCCCGGCAGGGTGCACGGGGTGGCCGCGCAGAGGTGCACCATTCCAACGCCCTCCTCGTCCCCGGTCGTCAAGGTCGCCCTCGAGGCATCGATGGGAGCTGCCCTTCGCGTCCTTGAAGCCGCAGACGCACCCGCGCCTAACGAGGCGGCTACCCTTGAGAAGCCCTTGCTGCAAACGCGCCACTGACCCGCCTGACTTCACGATGAGCTCGTTGGGCAGTATATTTCGGCAACGCCCCATGTCGCATGGACCTCGTTCTTCGCGCAGGCTTCGCCCGCCGCCTCGACCTCGGATGGGCCGCGCCAGGGCGGGGATGAGGCTGGGTCGCCTTCCAAGGCCACCTTGACATCGTGGCCCGTCTGGCTGCCTCCCGCGGACCCCCTCAACGCCCTTGCGACGAACGCGGCGCGAGCCCTTGCCATTCGAAGATACCGCGCTACAAGCCCACGGCGGCGCTCAAAATGGCGGCCACCCCGAGCGCCGCGAGCCCCATGGCCGCCCACTGCAGTTTCTCCCAGAACCCACCGCGCAAGTAGCGACCCATGGCGTCGACCATCCCCATCATGAAGTAAACGAGCTGGTGCAGCATAGCAGCATATCGCCCGGCGCGCGCCCGACCTACTCGCCGAGCCACTTCAAAGCTGCCTCGCCACGCGCTGATCCAGGACATGCTGACATGCACTCCCATGATAGCACCTGGCGCCAAGCTTGGCTCCTCGTCCCGTCTGCCTCCTCGCCGCTGCCGCGCCAGGCGGGCCCGTGGGCTCGCCGGGCGGCGGCGGAGGTAGGCCAGCTCCTCGCGCCCCCCCTCCTCCGACGGCAGCGCCCCCGCCGCTGGGCTGGCGTCTGCGTAGTAGAAGCCAAGGCAGTAGTACTCGCACTCACCAAGTGACTGGGGGCGCTCGCCCAGGTCGGCCACGGCCGCGGGCGAATCCGTGGCCGGGAGCCCCAAGAGAGCGATGGTCGCTGCCGCCGAGTGGAGCTCTGCCGCGGACCCCTTGATGGCTAGCGGCGTCGCGCCGCTCTCGCTTGAGCAGCCGGGCTGGCCATCCTGACTGGGCCGCTCCTCCTGCTCCTCAACGTCGCACGAGCCACCCTCGCCCGGGTCTGCCCGAGCGCGGCCATCCTCGGGTCCCACAACCGTGGCCGCCGCGGACAAGCTAGCATACAGCTCAACCCCGGGCGACGCGTCGAGCCACGTCAGCACCGCGATGATTGCCGCCGCCAAGCTGAATTCGAGCGTGTGGACGGCCAGCATCTGGCACCCGCTGCGGGCTGCGTGACCCCTCCGGGCGCCGCCCGCACTGGAGGGGGGTCCTGGCCTAGCCACCACCGAGCACTTCTCAAAAGTCTCAAAATGCCTAGCCCGAGCCAGAAGCCGGGCGGGCGAGCCATGGCCCCGCTCGCCCACCCCAAAAATACTGGCCCCGCATGGGGCCTTGAACCCAAAGGACCACAGAAGAGGCGGCTGCGCACGAGAGCAACACCCTCTGTTATATCCAACGTCCAAAGGAAGGTGCCCTTGCGCCATCCCAACTTGGCGAGTGTGGCCACTGCCCACACTTCCACAACAACCAGGCCTCACACCGCACAGCTAGCCGCAGCCGCCGCTTACAGCCGTTCCTCCAGCCCCACACTGTGCCAGCAGCCACGCACTTGCTCACCGTACTCTTCCCTTCTCACTTCTTTTCATATGATGAGATCCTCCTCCTCCTCCTCCTCCTCCTCCTCCTCCTACTCTTCCTCCTCTTCTTCTTTCCTTATGAATAGCTCCTACCTGTCGCGCCCCGCGGCCGGTCGGAAGGGCGAACCGGACGTTTCGCCTGAGACTTCCTCACCACTCGTGACCCTGAAGCTTACAAACTGGCACCAGTTCCACGGATGAGGGGGGTCTCTATATATTGAACTACACACTGGGGAAAAACGACAAACGAACGGATTTTCCTGAATACTGAAGTCCCTTTGTGATCGACAAACAACGCGACATCAAGAAACATACCCAGCGTTCTCGATCAACGACAAACAAGGTCGCATTTCGACGTGAACTACCCTGCTCAAGCGACGACCAACATATACAATAACCTCTAAATACTATTTTTCTGGATGAACAAATAACTGGAGAACATAATAACACTTCTACGCAAACCTGCGAACTTTAAATGAATAGATTCCTGAACGAATCCGTGCAAACAAAAACATTACACAACTCCTGAAACGAATCGGGGCCAATGGGGCCCCACGCGCCCACGCCGCGCATTCGTTTCGAAATGTTCGCGCTTTTACCTCTTGGACTCGGTCTCCAAGCCAGGACCGGCAGACGAAAAAAACATAAAATACATATACAAGTATCCCCAATCCAGAGAACCGGTTTAAAAACCATTTGTTTTCCAATAGGAGCAGGGGCCGATGCGCCCCACACGCGTTCCTTCCAAAATGTTGGCATTGTACTTCTTGGATTTTGTTTGTCCCCGGGATCGCGAGACGAAAACAAAAAGATACACGAAAATCCCCAATCCAGAGAACCGGTCAAAATGCCATTGGTTTTCCAGAAAGAATCGGGGCCGATGGGGCCCCACGCGCATTCCTTCCCGAATGTGGGTGCTTTACCCCAAGTGAAGTGGTGACCGCGACGAACGACGACATGAATCTGGATGACTTACCCACTAGCGCCGCGCGGCGGACGAACGACGGGGGAAACCTGGCACTACTGACCTACTTGTAGCCGGTCAAACCCCTCTCATTTCCACGGATTGAGGGCGGGTAGTTCTCAAAATGTGGCTCTCGCCTCATCGCCGAGCGCATTCGTCTGACAAAAATGTAAGAGTTCCACGGATTGACGGCGAGTCATCTTCAAAATGTCAGCGCCGCGCACATTCACACTCTTCTCGAACATTTGCAAGGAGCTCCACGGATTGAGGGCGGGTGGTTTTCAAAATGTGGCTTTCGCCCCAGTGCCGCGCACATTCATCTCAAACATTTGCAAGAGCTTCACGGATGAACGGCGAATCGTTTTCAAAATGCGGTTCTCGCCTCATCGCCGAGCGCACTCGTTTTAAACATTTGCAAGAGTTCCACGGATTGACGGCGAGTCGTTTTCAAAATGCGGTTCTCGCCTCATCGCCGAGCATACTCGTATTAAACATTTGCAAGCGTTTCACGGAGTGAGGGCGGATTGAGGCGGATTGAGGGCGGACGTGGCGCTCGCCTTAGCGTCGCGCATATTCGATTTTAAACATGTGCAAGCGCTTCGCGGATTCTCATGGTTAACCTTCCAGGAATGATGCTTTCAAACGATTCAGGGGGGTCAGGGCGAACAGTTACGTTGACTCGCGGTGTTGAAGTCCCAGGAGTGGTGTCCTGGCACGATTCAGGATCGTCAAGACGCACCAGTCAGGTTGACTCGTGGCGTTGGAGTCCTCAGAACGGTGTTCTGGCACGCTTCAGGAGTTGCACACGGTTGTCTCACAACGGGGCACGTCCCTCAGTGGAAGCGAACCCTTTTATGGTGCCCATGAAGAGTAAGCTTGGAGGGAGGGTGTATCCCAACATAGTTGATGAGTCTTGGGTTTATACTGATCCTTCTCCTCCTCCTCCTCCTCCTCCTCTTCCTCCTCCTCCTCCTCTTCCCTTCTTCTCGTCCAATCGCCTGTCGCCCTTGCCGTTATAGTATGATGCAATCTTCTACCAGCCGCCAGTCCCGACCTATGGGTCGCGAGGCAAACTAGTTTTACCCCCCAAGGGCCGATTGGCCATGGGGGGGATGGCCGCGTCAGGATGACACCATGGCCGAGAAAGAGAGAGAGAGAGAGAGGAGGAGGAGTAGGAGGAGTAGGAGGAGGAGGAGGAGGAGGAGGAGGAGGGGAAGGAGGAGGAGGGAGGAGGAGGAGGAGGAGGAGGAGGAGGAGGAGGAGAAGAAAGATGCGGATGATGCGGAGGATGTGGAGGATGCAGAGGATGCGGAGGATGTGGAGGAGGAGGAGGAGGAGGCGGAGGAGGAGGAGGGTCCCCCCCTCGGACAGTGAGCAGCAGGGCTCGAACAGAGCCTCCTGCGCCTCCCCCCCCCGCGGTTTCTATCTGCAAGGCCCCAGCGGGCTGCCCCAAGCAGGCCTTTGCGGGGGCAGAGTCCGCATCCATATTCCCGCAGGGGCCTATCCCCCCGAACGTGGCCTGGGCCCCCACTGGCCGATTTACGGCCATAGATGGGGATATTCTCTTCGAATTTCGAGGGGCAGATTCCCAACTGGGGTGGTGGGATGGTGGAGATGGGGATGGGGATGGCGATGGGGATAGGGATCGGTTAAACGCTACTGATCCCAGGCCCTGTCGTGGATTTCGATCTCCCCTTGGAGGCGGCCGAGGGAGGTCTGAACTGGTTGGGACCCCGGTCACGAAGGGTGATGGGGCGAAATCCTCTCAAAATCGGTCCCTGGACCCCTCGCAAGGTCCACCTGGTGCAGTTTCTCACCCCGGATCCGCTTTTCACCATGAACCTGCCCGCCCTTCCTGCTGGCCAGAACCAGTGCGGGCCAACTCAGACCCCCGGATGGCTCTATTACCCCCCTCCCCCACGAGCAGTAGACACCATGTGCCAGCGGCGGCAGCGACGGCGGGGCCTTCGTCGGGACCGGCACCACGAAGTGGAGCACGGCGCACACGAAGAGGGACGCCACGAGAATGACAAGCACCTGTCCGAAATACGTCGCTCTCTCCACCCCCTCCGCCTTCCATCCCTCCCTCGCTTGCTCGATGCTGTCCTCACTCCCTCCATCCGGTCCTCTCTCCATCCGTCCCTCCTTCGCACCTGCCCTGACCCCCTCCCATCCTGCCCCTCCCCTCCCGTTGCCCTTCCTCCCCCCCCTCCCCCTGGCCATACCTCCTGTCCCCCCCCCCTCCCCGTCCCTCCCCTCGCCTCTCCCCTCCCAGAGTGGCGCCTTTGTGAAACTTCGTGGTGTCCTGGGCACTGTCGAATCAACGCCAGCGGACCGGGAACCGCAACGACGATACTGTGGTTTGCCGTTATTATATCGTGGGACTTTGTTACACAAAAACGCAACGATACCAGACCCTCGCACAAAAACTTCGACTGATTCGGGATTTGGAGACTCTGGGGCTCTCATCGTAAACCTCCGTACGCTATTAAGAATTCTGAGACACACGATTTATCATCGATGCGCGTCCCATGACCCAATCTCGCGCGGGATTTCCTGGACAGGACCGATTCGTCAAAGTTCCCGGGGCCCGCTATGGCCCCTGAATCAACGGAATTGTCGGCGGCTCGTCCTCATTAGTTGTTTCATTTCGCTCGAGATCTACAGCAATCGTGCAAATTGACACACCATCAACGGCTGCAGAGATGACACCCGCGCCCAATTCTAAATTCGCACGCGCACTGTACTGTCAGCCGCCGCTCATCTCGGGGCCTCCCGCTTGTGGCACGCGGAGAGCAAAAGAGAGAATCCGCCTCCTTAGAGGCGCACCCGAAGCGTAATCCGCCACCATGGCGGAGACATTGAGTGGATTGTTCCCAAGTCTCGTACAGCCCACAATATCGCACATTCAAAAGCCCCAGATCTTGGGTTTTCGAACATGTTTTTTCTCCTGTGCAAAAATGACAGAGCGTTAACATGTTGCAAAAGTGTCAGCTCAACACGCCTATGCGACGAGTGCCAAAACGACTGATGCGCTGAAGAGTCTTCGACAAACGATGCTTTTTGCCCTGGACTGAAAAAGGTAGGCATCCGCTTGGCGCGCACTGGTCTGGTCGTCAAAGGGTGCGCGCGCAAGGCGGAGCGAAACTACTGCTCTGGACTGAGATGGATATGAGTCCGTTTGGCGCACATTTGTCAATCGTATCCAGAAAAAACACACAAAGGAATTTCACACAAAGGGTTCTGGCACCACCAACGACGCAACTCATGTGCACCCATGCCACCGGATCCCTGGCGATTCGAACCAAGGTTGATGCACGGCGGTGCTCTAAGACGCTGCTGGCATGTATGGTGTGGCAGCGCTGTCGGCGGCGACAAGATCCCAAGCTCCGCTACCAGCAGACATGCGTCGTTGGCAGCACGCGTCGTGGCAGCAGGACGCAGTAGCGCGCACGGGCATGCAGAGCCGGCGATGTGGCTGGCCAGCTGCCAGCGCGATTTCGGCATAAGTGCCAAAATCCACGTAGGATCGTTTTGGGCGCGGTACCCAGCGCAGCTGCATCGCACTGCCAGGCGCCGCGGCCTTGACTTTGTAGCGCCAGGCCACGTGCGCTCCTCGAGGCGGGAAAACAAGCTCTACACAAAGGAATCGCGCGTGCTCTTGTGGGGACGGCGAAAACGATCGTACGCAAAGGAAATTCCTTTGTGTGCCCCCCCGCGTTGGGAATATAACCAGACCGCACACAAAGGAATTACACGAGACTTCGTGGCACACAAAGGAATTACACAGCAACACCCTTTGGGTTGCGATTTTCGCGCGCGGTGACAGCTCCGAGCTGGAAAGGAAGGGGGGGCGGGACAAGGCAAAGCGAGGGAAGAGGAAAAGGAAGAGGAGGGCGAGAAAGAAGCGAAGGAAGCAACGGAAGGAAGCCAGGATGCACACTGCGTGCCGAGACAGTTGTTCGTTCGTGCGGTTGGCCGTGCAGCATATGAGCAGAAAAATACTTGTTTGCTGCCAATCGAAAGGATTTCTTGGGAAGGAGACTCGCGCTCTCTTCCCAAACCCCCTTTCCCACGCCCCGTTGCGAGCGCGCGACGATGTCTTCTGGCACGCGGGCAGAGGACTGCCAGTTGCTGGTGAGCGACCTTTCCACCCGTCACGCGTTCCAAACAGATGCGGCCAGCTAAACGCCCTTGCCACGCAAACCGCCAGCTCCAAAAACCGACGCCACCCCGATCCCCGCACCCGTGCCAAGCACCCTCTCAACGACGCCCCCTTCCGGCGTAAAACCAATAAAACCCTTTGTGTTTATGTATGTTTTCCTGTTCTGAGTCAAGGCGGTCGCCCGCTCAAAAGTGTGCGCGCGGCGGGTACATCTCGGATTTCCCAAATCCGCCAGCCACCTTGGTGGGAGCCAGCCAACAGGCTGCGGGGCTGAGGGTTCCCCGCAACCTGTGCCAACACCAATTTCTGGTCTCCAATGTTAGAACTTCTATGTTCGTTCCCTGCTGTAACTTGCTACTGTCCGCGCGAAGGGCGGGGACAAAATCACCTTTTTACCCTTCCCCCCCCGGAGTTCCCAGAATTCGCCCGGGACCCCAAGATGCGAACAATAAACCGAATACTGACTAGTGCAAGAAGCGAGCGAGGCCGAGCGCGCCCGCCAGCTTCTGCGCACTTTTCAAAGCGAGGGCTGTACGCCCCCAGGCGGGCCGCTAGTTGTGCGGGCGGCCCGCGGGAACCCTCACCAGGCCTCAAAAGCGCCGACAGCTTCGCACTTCGAAGCCCCCAAGGATGGCGAGGTCTAGTCTGACTCTGCGTAAGACGTCGCTCCACTGGACCCCACAGCACGCCTCGAATGCTGCGACAGATTCGCAGTTCGCAGACTGATCTGAGTCAGCCTATGGCGTCACTCCGCTGGACCCCCTGCAGCCCTCGTGGTGTCAGTTTCGCAGTTCACAGCCACCCACAGGATGGCGCGCTCTCATCTGAGTCTCCGTAAGACGTCACTCCACTGGACCCCCCGGCAGCCCTCGAAAATGGCGACAGTTTCGCAGTTCGAAAGCACTCTGGTGGACCCCCTGGCAGCCCTCGAAAGTGGCCACGGTTTCGCAGTTCACAGCCCCCCCCCAGGGATGGCGAAATCTAATCTGAGTCGGCGTAAGGCGCCACTACGCCGGACCCCCCAGCAGGCCTCGAACGTGGCGACAGTTTCGCACTTCGCAGCCCGGATGGCGAGGACTGATCTGAGTCTGCGCAAAACGTCACTCCGCTGGATCCAACGATGCGAGGTCTACTCTGAATCCGCGTATGACGTCACTTCGCTGACCCCTCAGCAGTCCTCGAAAGTGGCGACTGTTTCTCAGTTCGCAACCCACCAGGGATGGTGAGGTCTAATATGAGTTTGCGTCAGACGTCACTACGCTGACCCCAGCAGCCCACGAAAATGGCGACAGTTTCGCAGTTGGCAGCCCCCCGAAGGATGGCGAGGTCTGCTCCAAGTCTGCCTAAGGCATCACTCCGCTGGACCCTCCTGCAGCCCTCGAAAGTGGTGTCAGTTTCGCAGTTCGCAGCCCTCCAAAGGATGGCGAGGTCTCAACTGAGTCTTCGTAAGACGTCACTCCACTGGACCGATAATTTTGCAGTTCTAGGACACTCCAGTGGATCCCCTAGCAGCGCTCGAAAGTGGCGACGGTGTCGCAGACAACCCCGCAGTAATGGCGAGGTCTAATCGGAACCTGCGTAAGACGCCACTACGCTGAACCCCCCAGCAGGCCTCGAACGTGGCGACGCTTTCGTAGTTCACAGCCCCCAGTGATGGCGACAGATTCGCAGTTCGTAGCCCCCCCAGGGATGGCGAGCTCTCATCTGAGTCTGCGCAAGACGTCATTCCGATGGGCCCCCCAGCTGCCCTCGAAAGTGGTCAGTTTCGCAGTTCACAGCCCCTCCCCCAGGGATGACGAGGTCGAATTTAAATGTGCGTGTGACGTCACTCCGCTGGATCCCCCTGCCGCCCTCGAAAGTGGCGACAGTTTCGCAGTTCTCAGCCCCACAGGAACGGCTGGGTCTCATTTAAGTTTGCGTTAGACGTCACTCCGCTGGACCCCCCAGTAGTCTTCGGACGTGTCGGCAGTTCCGCAATTCGCACTTCCCCGAAGGATTGCGAAGTCTATTGTAGATCTGCGTAAGACGGCACTTCGCTGACCCCCCAGAAGCCCTCGAACGTGTCAACAGCTTCGCAGTTCGCACCCCCCCAGGGATGGCACGGTCAAATTTAGATCTGCGAAAGACGTCATCCCCCAGAAGCCCTCGAAAGTGGCGACGGATTCGCAGTTTCCAGCCCCCCAGTGATAGCGAGGACGAATTTAGATCTGCGTAAGACGTCACTCCGCTTGACCCCTAAGCAGCCCTCGAAAGTGGCGACAGCTTCGCAGTTCGCAGCCCCCCCGGGGATGGCGAGGTCACGTGAGACGGCGAGGCAGGAGGCAGGCTGGCAGGCAGGAAAAAGCCAGGTAGGAGGCACGAGAGCGAGGTAAGAGGCAGAAGGGAAGACAGGAGGAGGGAGGCGGGATGAAGGAGAATACGCGACAACAGTGCTCGATCCCAAACGAGAACCCAACGCAAGAGGGTTAGGAAAAAACGTCGGCCACAATCCCTCGTCAACCACAACAGGTTCGCGCCCCTGGAGCCACAATCCCTCGTACATTACGGTGGGTTCGCGCCCCCGAGGCCACAATCTTTTCTGTAAGCTACAACAAACTCTCATTCCGAGGCTGCCCAAAAACACCCCCCTGCAGAAAACAGAATTTGTAATCTTATGGATTGGGACACGTCTTCGGGGGCATTGTTCGCCCCCGCCGGCGACTTCCTGAGAATTCAGCAATGGACCCGCAGCTGCAAGCTCTCGAAAAGAATGAGGACTGCAAGGAACCCACAAAACAGCCCCATCCGCGCGACATTTCCAAGGATCGCCTCAAACAGCCCCCCAGTCGTTCCGAGAAGGTTTCTGACCCGCCACCGTGCCGCACGGCCGTCCGACGGTCCAGGGTGGCCCAATAGGCCCCCGGTATTGCCCCAAGATCGCCCAAGAGGCCTCCAAAGTGACCCCTGGACGGCCCATGATGAAGGGGCCCCAGGACACACAAATAAATACACACAAATAAAATGATTCCCCATATTTTCCCATATTTCCTGGGTTTTTGTCTTCCCCCCCACTTCCCATATTTTCCCATATTTTCTGGGGAATCAACGATTAATTGTGTCTGTGTGTTTTTTCCCCTCCAGACATGAGGCTCCCGAAGAACGGAACAGCACGGAGCGGAAGCCGGCGCAGGGCTCCGCGAGGGAGCTGCCGGGAGGGCCGAGGCCCGCTCACGTCTTGATGTAACAGTCCCTCAGGTGGTCTCACGCCTCCAACCTTCGCAACCTGTAGAGGGAAGAGAACTATGCACATGCACCGATTCTGGCCAGGCCCATCCTGAGCCCAGGATCGGTGCATACGCCCTCCTACCCTGGCCAGGACGGCATATGCACCGATCCCGGGTCAGGGATGGGCCTTGCCAGGATCGGTGCATGTGCATAGTTCTCTTCGCCCGAACCTGTGTCCAGTCGTCGTAACCAGTGGTGGTCAGTACGGGTTGCTTGATATCGTCTACCCACCTGGTCTTACGGCGCCCTGAGCGTCGCCGGGCTGGCGTGCGCAGGTCCAGTTGTGGAGCCCAGTTCAGGATTTGAATCGGCCATTCTTATGCCTACATGAAGACGGCCTCCTTAAGAGCCACAAGACGGCCCAAGAGGCCTCCAAGACGCCAAAGATGACCTGCAAGACGAACCTGAAGCGTCCCAAGAAGGCCCCAGAGGTTCCGAAGACGGTTTCCGACAGCGTCAGACGTGCCAGGAAAGCCGTAAGACGGCCAAAGAGGTTTCCAAAGGCCCAAGGAGGCCCCCGAGAGGCCTCCAAGAGGCCTCCGAGAGGCCTCCAAGAAACTCTGAAGAGGCAAGAATGACCCCAGCGACTCCCTCCTCCTCCTCCTCCTCCTCCTCCTCCTCCTCCTCTCGTTTCCTCCCTCTCCTCATCCTCGTCTTCGTCCCCCACGTGTTTTCCGAAGCGTTTCCACACTGGCTGGGGGGGGGGGACAGAAAGCAGGGGGCGGCAGTGATTTGATGTAGGCGTCCTCGGTAAGACAACCATATATGCTGCTACGTACGCGACGCACACCCACCTGCTCGAAACAAGGCGCAACGGGAAGAACATAACTCACGACACACTGGCCCAGTGTAGCAAGACACGGGTCAGACCGTAAATGTGCAGACGGACTGCGGAGGAAGAGGCCCTACGGAGAGGAGGAGGGGGGAGGCGGAGGCGTTCTCGGATTTCCTGGGGTGCGGTTCGACCCGAATCTCGGGGGGAACCATGCAGTGGCGACGAGGCGCCTCTCGTGCGACACCAATGTGCGCTGTCGCGGGAGGAACCGCGGGCCAGCAACTCGCGAAACGAACATCGGCCCTCCACCTCAAGAGACCGAAAAGGCGCAAGAGCGGCGGGAGCCGAGGCGGCGCCTGGGGCTCCGTGAGCAGATCGGCGTCGCTGAAGAAGCCCACCGCCGCTGGCTCGCCCTGAGAGGGGGGGCCTGGAGAGACCCTCGGACGGGCTCCAGGCCCAAACACCCCTTTTCCTCCTCCTCCTCCTCCTATTCCTCCTCCTATTCCTCCTCCTCCTCCTCCTCCTCCTCCTCCTCCTCCTCCACCACCCTCGTTTTCGTCCTCGTGCTCGTGCTCGTCCTCGTCATTCCACCACCCTCGTCGTCCTCTTCCTCCTCCTCCTCCTCCTCCTCCTCCTCCGTATCCACCCTTCCAGGAGCTGAGCCGTGCTGGGCCCGAGCTGTGCCTGCTGAGCTGTAAGGGTTGCTATCCCGTCTCGAAGTTGAAAGCTGCATAACCCATTTGATCACATAGTTCCCGAACAGTTCCTCCTCTTCCAACCCCGTCCCCCCATCCCCCTTGTCCTCGCCCGCGGGCCGACGGCGCACCGGCAGTCCTCCTCCGCGCCGGCGGCGGCCGAAGCGCCTAGCGCCTCGTCTGGGTGCTGATGGCAGGGATGGGTTCCTGCGCCTCGCGTTGGACGAGCGGCCGTCCGACCGCGGCGCTGCGCGCACGGGCCTACGTAAAACAAAAGAGCGCAACTTACAGGAGTTTCAAAACAAAACTTGCTGGGGGCCTCGAGGCCCAGCTTCTGAAGACCGTCCCACCCCTCCCCCACGCCCCCAGGATCAGAGACAAGAGCGGACATGAGAGGGCAGCGCCAGCAATTGGCCAGAGAGTCATGGGATGTGCAGCTGAAGCAACATGTGGAACCAGCCTTCTGAAATCGGTGCTGAGTGAGCCAGGCACGCGAGAGGGTCCTAATCAGAGCAAAAGGGTCAGCTTGTCTCATCGTGGCCATGGTGCTGCTGACCAGGGTCCACTCGAATTTAAAGACTCGCTCGAAAAACTCGGGCCCAGGAAATTATCGATGAATCCTACGAACGAAAAACTGCCTGGGAGCCTCACTCGGGGAGTGGGCCGCCGTGAACGAACTCGAAGGAGTCCACTGGGTCCCAGGGTGCTCCTCCCTACGACCCTCACGGGCCTGTCTGCTGGATCTCGAAGAGGCCTCGGGGCTCGTTGCGCCCGGAAGCCGCCAGAGTACATTGCCGATCGCCGGGGAACCCAAGAGACGCAGCCCTCCATCACTGGCAGCAAGCTGGATCTTCCTAAAACTCAGGCCACAAGCGTCCTCTGCAGACGGTAGCGAAAGGCAAATCAAAACATCCCCCGTCCAGCCAATCTGCGGTACATGCGCAGCCGCGCGCCCGCGAACGTCGAGAGAGCGGCTCTGCCGCCTGCGGCGTGCGACTGGACTGTGGCGGACGGGATCCCGGGGCCACCCGAGGAGGCCATCGACGAGCTATCCCGCCCGACTCGTGGCACGGCGAGGGGAGTGGAACACGCGGGCCCGAGCCGCCGTCTCCTGCGCCAGCAGCTCGGCGGGGGGCGGGCAGCACTGGGCAACGTGCGATAGGGTAGCCGCGCCTCGGTGCGCACGCAGGTCGGCCGTCACTGCGGCCGGGGCATTGGCACCGGATGGCATGCTGCAGCGGTGGCGGTGCTGATTCCTCGGGGCGGTCCAGGATTTGAAACGTGGTTTGGGGCCAGCCCGCATCCCCAGGTACTCGAGGTTCGGCGCAATCGCAATTTCAGCCCAAGCTGGCACTCGGGGCGCGATTGCAGCAGCATGCTTGTCAGCGAGCTCGGGGGGGAGGCGTCAGCCAGAGGAATGATGTGGCATTAACATGCCTCCAGGGGGGGTGCGGTGAGCAGCTGGGACATTGCGGAATGCGCGGCGTCGGACAGCAAGATATCTCAACGCCGGGATAACTGCTCCGAGATCGCCCGCACAAGCCAAGCCCACTCCTCGGCACTTCTCTGTGAAGCACGGTTGGAAGTCGGGGAAGAACGGGCGGGCGCAGCAGCGAAGAGGGCCCGGCTCGCGGGGCAGCCTTGAAAAATGCCAGGTCAGGCCAGAACGAGAAAAGACAGAGCATCTGACCGCTGAACGCACCGCGGCACTGGACATTCGCATGTAGGACGGTAAAGAAACACATGAGCGGGGCAGACAGTGAGAGATATCGGGGCGCACGCTGGGGCCAGTCATGAGAGACGGGGGGTGCCAGGAGAAGTCGCGGGAGCGGGTCGCGGGCGCGTCGGTGGAAGCCGCTGTCGACATCGGGGCCATCCTCGCGCGCGCGCATCCAGTCTTGCAACGTTGGCGCCGAATTGCCGTCCGATCGTGAAAAATCTCGGTGCAGCGGTCTGCTGATCTCGGCTAACTTGGCCGCGAAATGCCCCTTGACAGCGCCCGCGCTGACCTTGTTCTCCGACTCCGTGAGGCCGAGCGGACGAAGCGATTGCACACCGCGAACAACCCCTGTCACGCCCCCCCCCCCCCCACTTTGCGGAATGAGTGTGCCCGCGACAGCGTTGAACGACGAAATCGACGAGTTCCCTTCCAACATCCACCGCAGATGCTCTTCGGCGAGTTCGGTCGCCATCAGCCCGCGCCGCCGCGCGTCGCGAGGAAGACGGCCTGGGCCAGGGGCGCAGCCTCCAAGCTTCTGAAGACGGGCGCGCATTCCAGAGAGAGAGAGAGAGAGAGAGAGAGCGGGCGGGGGAGTGTCCGAGAAGTCCACCTGGCCCCCGAATCTCCCGAAGCAAGTTTCAGCCGAGCCATGGAGGGCACGCTTTTTGCCGAAGGCGGGGCCCCAGTAGCGGCGGACCCCCCTAGACATCTCCTCGGACTGAGTCGCAGTCTCGCTGGAAGGAAGCCCGATGCCTTCTCGGCGTCAGACGTTGGTCGAGCGGGGCCCAGATCGACCCGCGTTTCTGGAGTCGCCGCAATCTGTTACCGTCGTTTCCGCTGTATCCTCTCAGGCGCGTCATCGCCCACCGCGCTCGTCAGTTTCGTCTTCTGGGCTTCGAGGTCGGCCGTCTGCAGCTGATCTAGCTCGCTAGCAACGCGCGCAGGGTCGCGCGGCGAGAGCACGCCAGTGGCGGAGTCATTCTACAGAAGCTTCCGAGCGGCCGCGCGCGCCGGCATGAGGACGGCGCCAAGCCTCCTGTCCTGTCTCCACACAGCCCCGACCGCCGAATGTTATAGAATCATGCGGCCACGACGGCCGCCCCCCTCGAAACGTAGAGCGGCGTTCCCAGCAAACTCGGCGCCTCCCGCCGTCGGATACTCGCGCGCGCCCATCTTCAGCGGGGGCGAAAGCTCGCCCCAAGACGCAGCCCCCACGCGTGCTCGCGCGAAATCCTAGAAATGAGATGCGGCGACGCGCCCCTCGGGAATCGGGCGGCCCTGAACCGCGATCCCCGGGGCCCCCTCGAGGTCCGCGGAAACTGAGGCATGGTCCGAGAGATCGGGATGGTGCGCGACTTCGACCTGATCATTAGCGAGTTCCAACGCATACATCTGAATGAGCCCCCCGCCCAAGAATCGAGGCGAAGATGCGGTCGATGATGCGAGTCGGGTCGTTAGCTGGGCCATGGTGAGTAGAGCCATGCAAGCCCCCACCACATCCGACCCTTCCCTGCGCGCCACTCGCGGTCGCCAAATTTCGAATGGAAAAGCGCCCGTCGGCGCCGCCGGCGCGGGGGGGGCCTCGCTCGCGTTGAAGCCGCCAGCCAACAAGAAAGGAGCGCGGTCGGGGGCCGCGCGAGTACGTTCCAAATCTCGCTCAATTTCCCTCGCCGCACTCTGACGCACCTCCCGAGATAAACCCAAATCGTGGGCGCTCCACTGCGAGATCCAACTGTCCTCAGGCTCGTCTACAATCGCAGTGGCGCTCAGAATCCCCCAAGGGGCGAAATCATTTTTGACCGCGCACTGAGTGCACGCACCCACAAAAGAAATAATGCAAGGAAGCCTGCTAAGTTCGTGCGCCGTTCGTCGTTGCATGAGCGAAACATTCTGGCGGGCTCATGGAGCTGGTGCAACGTGTCCTCCGCTTCTGCAGGGGCGCCGCGGCATTCTTGGACACCGAGGATGGCGTCGGGGGCAAGCAGGGCCCCGAGGTACCTGACCTTTTCATCCCGAAGCGGCAGGTCGCGATGCAGCAGCGCCCCGGTGTTCCAATGCGCAATGGGGATCAGAACACGAGAGGGGGGCCGCGCTGCCAGGCCTGGAACAGCCTACTAAAGACACCACTCGGTGTCCTTCTGATTTTTGAAGAGAGCGCACGCAGAGCGCCTGGCCAGGACGCCGTCGAGGTTGAGCTCGGCCACGCTGCGGTCGCAGAAGTGAATCGTCGGCGCCGAACCCGCAGACGGGGGAAAGAAGTGCACGACATCCTTCCACGACAAGCTGATGATACTCTTTTCCTGGTCCGGGAGAAATCGTTTGACGGGGTAGCTCCACCAGATTACGAACCACCTTCTTGCCGCATAGCTCTCGCGCCACCAATTTCGGGCTCTTGTCGGGCCCGACGTCGACGTCTCAGTGATGCCATTATGCCGGCGAAGTTTTTAACGACAAAACGCATTTTCAAAAAAAACAAAAAAACTCTTAAACGCCAAATGATCGGCACAGTGTTGGACGAATCGCGGCTGGCCGCACGCGAGAACGCGAGCGCCCGCGCGATGCTCCTTGCTGCAAACTGATGCCCCGATGAGGACCGCGATAACAGCGTTTGCCGCGAAAGGGCGCGGACCGACTTGCCTACCAATCGCGACGCTGCGGTCAGGAACCGCCGCGCAACGGCAGCGGTGATAATCGAATAAACGCCTTAGAGCAAGTGACACCACGACAACGACATCAAAGGCGCCCTTGCGTTCAATGACACATTGAAGGTCGCGCAAACACGCGCGAGCCCCATGCGACACTACAACGCGCAACAACATGATGAGCGCAGAAGTACACAATTAAACGCGATGTGCGTGCCTACGCGCGCTAAACTACATACGTGGGCTCGCACGTGCGCGCGCATGTTCGAGGGCGGTGGCATCGCCAGAAGTCGCGGCGCGATGACAACTGGTTGTGCAAATTTGCAGGTCGCCAGGCGCACTTCTGAAAATCCTCG